AAGATATGTTTATCCTTTTGCTTAATTAATTATATAATTCGCCACTGTCTCTGTCTCTCTCTCTCTCTCTCTCTCTCTCTCTCTCTCTCTCTCTCTCTCTCTCTCTTCTCTTCTCTCTCTCTTACATTAGATATGTTTATCCTTTTGCTTAATTAATGATAAATTCGCCACTGTCTCTGTCTTCTTCTCTTCTCTCTTTCTCTCACTCACTCATTCTCTCTGCCACATACACACACACACACACACACACACACACACACACACACACACACACACACACACACACACACACACACACACACACACACACCACCCACCTGGGCATCGTAGGGGTAGACGTCCTTGCCGGGAGCGCCTGCTGGGAGTAGGCTGTCCCCTGGTCGAAGGCGCTGCGCTCCATCGCCGGGGCTGCGCCTCCTTCGGTCCGCCCGGAGTACCTGGGTGTTGGTACCGTTATTAGGGCGTGTCGAGGAAGGGGGTGAAGGAGGTCTATCTGAGAGGGGCCCCCATTTCAGAGGGGTAGGCTGTGGAGAGGGGCCCCAATACAGAGGGGTAGCCTGTGAGAGGGGCCCCAATAGAGGGGTAGCCTGTGGAGGGGCCCCAATATAGAGGGGTAGCCTGTGGAGAGGGGCCCAATTCAGAGGGTAGGCTGTGGAGAGGGGCTCCAATACCCCTGTCTATACAGAGGGGTAGCCTTTGGAAAGGGTCCCCAGTACAGAGGGGTAGCCTGTGGAGAGGGTCCCAATACAGAGGGGTAGTCTGTGGAGAGGGGCCCCAATACAGAGGGGTAACCAGTAGATAGGAACCTCCGAATAGATCTCGGAATCCTTATTTTTTCAAGTTAAAGAAAAATGAGGAAAGTCCCGTCAAATTATTCATATGGGAATCAGAGTATAGCCCTTTGAATGGATCTTCCGCACTTTCCTGTTTCCTACACTACATATCCTCATTCTAAAAAAATGGGGTAGTACTGCAGCAAAATTAATGCTTAAAAGGAGAGCTAATATAAAAATAATTAAAGGAAATGAAAAGTACACTTTCGAGCCAATGAGAGAGAGAGAGAAAATAAAAAACATATTCATTCCAAGAGCCTTACCAATAACAAGAAAACTCATGACACAGAAAAAATGTAACTGCACACAAACAAGCAAACAAATAAATGTAAAAATAATGCAACTTACACATGGCTGCCAACTTACCTACGCCTACTATCTAAACTAAAAGAAAATACCAACCAATATAAAACATGAACCGAAAGTCACTCATAACTGGTACCAAACAACCAATCAAGCACATAAAACAAGAAATAAAAATTAATACTAACCAATATAAACCCGAAAATTTTAGTAGATAATAATAACAACCATATAAACATACAATCAAATAAAAACACACAACACCAAACAAAAACCCAGTATAAAACACAAAAACCGGGACAAGACACATTATAGTGTCAACCAAACAACCAAAATGATACTAGAGGTCAAGCTAAAGCCAAAATCCAGAACCAGACACTCGGATATTAGTGCCAAGTGTTGAGAGCAGACGAGTGCCAACTAAAAAACTATCCGACCAACCCATCTAACCAAAAAGGAAGAAAGAAAGGAAAAAATAAAATCCAGGACAATGCACTCACACATTCCCAACCAACAGTGACGTATTTCATCCTTTTCTCGGTGTGGTGGGGCGAGGTTGGCGAGCAGTAGTTTCTGGGTCGCTGCGAACTCCCCCAAGATTATTATTATTCTTTTAAATGAACTATTCTATTTTAAGCTACGGCCAGTGCCCCCCCCCCCCACACACACAAAATGACGCCCCTGCCAGCCAACCAAAGCACCCAACTAAGTTCCAGACACCTAACCAACCGAATAAGATAAGAACCAAAAACTACACGAACATACACCAAAAACGGGGCCAGTCACCACCCTTTAACCGATCGCCAGTGAAAAAAAGAGAGAGAAAAAAGACAACCAATATAATCCCCCAAAAGAGAGAGGAAAAAATTAGCAACCAACATAACCCCAAAACGAGAGAGAGAAAGAGAGAAAATAGCAACATAAACCAAAAAACGAGAGAGAAAAAAAACCCTCAAAAAAAAAAAACAACCAACACAACAACCAAAAGCGCGAGAGAAAAATAAAACAATCACAACCAAACATAAAAGCCCCTCCCCCCTCTCAAGAAGAAGAAAAAGAAAGAGAGAGAGAGAGAGAGAGAGAGAGAGAGAGAGAGAGAGAGAGAGAGAGAGAGAGAGAGAGAGAGAGAGAGAGAGAGAGAGAGAGAGAGAGAGAGAGAGAGAGAGAGGGAGAGGGAGAGGGAGAGGAGGAGAAATAGAGAGAGAGAGAGAGAGAGAGAGATAGAGATAGATAGAATAGATAGATAGATGAGAGAGAGATGAGAGAGAGAGAGAGAGAGAGAGAGAGAGAGAGAGAGAGAGAGAGAGAGAGAGAGAGAGAGAGAGAGAGAGAGAGAGAGAGAACAGTGCCATTCACTCACATATTAGTGCCAAGCGCCGTGACCCGATCCCCGGCGAGAGCCAAGGACCCGACGGCAGTGCGGGGGCGTGGTGTCCCCCCCGTCACGAACCTCTTCAGGCCCGTCACCTCCTCCTTGCCGTCGAAGAGGCGGACGCTGCCGGGACCTCCGTGCCTGGGGTGGGGGGGGTAGGAGAAGAGAGGGAGAGGAGGGATGGGGATGGGGATAGGGAGAAATGGGTATAGGGAAGGGGAGGGGGAGGAGAGGGATAGAGATAGGGAGGCGGGAGGGGAGGGAGAGGGGGAGAAGGAGGGATGGGGATGGGGATGGGATAGGGAGGGGAAGGAGAGTGAGAGGGAGGAGAGGGGGAGAAGGAGGGATGGGGATGGGGATGGGGATGGGGATAGGGAGGGGAAGGAGAGGGTGAGAGGAGGAGAGGGGAAGAAGGAAGATGGAATGGGGATGGGAGGGAAGAGAGGGGAGAGGGAGGGAGAGGCGAGAAGGAGGATGGGATGGGATAGGGGGGAGCGGGAAGGAAAGATGGGAAGAGAGGAAAAAATAAGGAAAATCAGGTGCATTCGGCTAATAATGATGGTGATAATGATGATGATGATAATGATGATAATAATGATGGCGATGATAATGATGATGATAACGATAACGATGACATTAAAGATGATGCCAATGATGAGGTAAATATTTCGAATATCTGCAAGTCACGGATCACAACATTAGTACCAATAGATTCCTCTCATTCCCTACTATCGGTATATTACACACCCAATACCAACAATCTTTGCCTCAGCAGTAAGGGAGTCTAAGAAAAACATCAGGGAAATTGCAGGGTAAAAGATGGAGAACATGCATTACACAGTGAAAATCACGGAGAGAACCTACTATTCCGTCCACTCAATAGATGGCACTGCACGCAATACACGCTTATTATTTGAAAGCTGCCATCTAGTATCAGAAATTGGTATTTTATATGCTAGGTTTTATACGTTTTTCTTCCTTCCTGTTTCCCTCGCCGCCTTTCCTGGCAAAACAACAAAACTTCCTTGAGTAAACAACAAAACTTTCCTGACTAAATAAGGGATTTATCAACATAACAGCAGCGTATTCCGATAGTGTGTGCTATTGCTGTGTGTTTGGGAGTTCTAGTCCATTAAATCATACAGTGAACCTCGTTATCTCGCAGGTTAGTGTATTCTTTTCCTTGGCTTCATTTTGCTGGTTATACGTGGGAGATATGTCTTCCAGGGGCAAGGTTGTGGGGGTTTATATAGGGGGTTTCGGGACAATAATCTCTATATATTTAATACTTGGGGATGGTGATGGTAATGATGCTGATGATGATAGTGATGATGATGATTAATGATAATGATGATTGATGATGATGATTGATTGATTGATGATGATGATGATGATGATGATGATGATGATGATTATGATTGAGGATGGCGAATACTGATGATGATTGATGATAACGGTGGTGATGATGGCGTGATGATGATACTGGTTGTGATTATGATTACAATGATAATGACGATTACGATGACGATGATGATAATGAACATGACAGACAATAACAACAACATACAACAACAAACCCACTTTAAAAAACAACAACAAAACATCGACCCTCCTCCCTCACCATACGGCACAGCCCCGTCGGTGTCGATGACGAAGCCTCCCGAAGGATTCTGCTGGTTCTCCTTCAGGAAGAGCGACACGCGGATGCGAAGGTCCTGAACGAATCCCAGGAGGGCGTGGCGGATGCTCGCTAGCTCGCCCATGTTCATGTTGCCTAGGTCTGTTGCGGGCGTGGGGGAGGGAGGGAGGGAGGGAGGGAGAGGTGTTGGGGAGGGGGGAGGGAAGGAGGGAGGGGAGGTGTGCAGGGGGGGAGGGGGGAAGGAGGGGGGGTGTTGGGGTGAGGAGGGGAGAGGTGTGGGAGTAAGGAGGGAAGGGGTGGGTTAGGGGTGGGAAGAGAGGGAGGGAGGGAAGGAGGGAGGGAGAGTGTTGGGTAGGAGGGAGGGGGAAGGAGGGGAGATGTTGGGGTGAGGAGGGGAGAGAGGTGTGGGAGTAAGGGAGGAAGGGGTGGTGTTAGGGTGGAAGGGAGGTAGGGAGGGAGGGGAGGGATAGGTGTTGGGTAGGGAGGGAGGACGGGTGTTGGAGTAGGGAGGGGAATAAGGAGTAGGGAGGTGTTGGGGGTGGGAAGGGAGGGGAGGGGAGGGAAGGAGAGATGTTGGGGGAAAAGGAGGTAGGGGGAGAGGAGGGTGGGTTAGGGGTAGAGAGAGGGGGTGGTTAAGGGGGTTAGGGGCGGGGAGGAGGGGGGGGGGGGAGGTGCGAGAGAAGGAAAAAGCAAAGGGAAGAAATTAGATACACTTACTTCTATTGTCATTATTATCATTATATATATATATAATATATATATATATATATATATATATATATATATATATATATATATATAAATCTTATGATAATTTTCTTTAATATAGCTATTTGCAATATCATTAGTACTGCCATCATAATCATAATAGTTATCATTATAATTATCATTATCACTACAGCAATTATCAGTGCTATTAATTTCATCATCATTACCATTCTTATCATTACTATCGGTTATTCTAATTATCACCATTATTATTATCATTATTACTATCTATTCTCACCATCAGTACCACCACCCTTAGGCCATACCCCTAAGCAGCTACCCCCCTCTCCCCAAACCCCCTAAAACCAAGCTCCCCCCCCCCGAAAAATCCCTCCCCCCTAAAAGAAAATAAGCATCACCCCCAAAAAACCCCCCCCCCCCCCCCCAAGGCTCCCAAAGTCCCGCCCTCAAGCTAAGCCACACCCCCAAATAACCCCCCCCCCAACCAACCCAAGGTTCCCCAAGTCTTACCCCCAAGCTAAGCCACACCCAAACCCCCAACAAACTCCCCTTACCCCCCACCAACTCAATCCCTTCCCCAGACCCCCACAAAACCAATCTCCCCCACCCCACACAAATCCCCCCAGAGTTTCCCTAGACCCTCCCCCCGAACAAAATCCAACCCTTCCCCCTTCCCCCTCCCCCCCGCACCCCTCCCACCACTACCACCCAAAGAAGGATCCCCCCCGCACCCTCCTCCCGAACAAATCAACCCCTTCCCCACCCCACACAAATCCCCCTTCCCTCCCCCTCCCCCTCCCCCTCCCACCCCCCACCACCCACCTGCGTGAAGAGGAGGAGCGTCCCCTCCACCTGGGCGAGGACGGGCGTGGCGGTGGCGAATCCCCTGAGGGCGTCCAGGTGGTTGAGGGTGAGGAGGAGCAGGTCCCGAGGGTGGGGGGCGAGGAGGACCTGGTGCTTCATCGCCATCACCATCAGGTCGTAGAGCTGTTTGAGGGAGGTAAAAGGAGGTGTTGGGGAGAAAGGGAGGGAGATAAAGGAGGTGTTGGGGGAGAAGGGAGGGGGAAGCAGGTGTTGGGGGAGAAAGGGAGGGAGAGGAAGAAAGGAGGGAGATAAAGGAGGTGCGAAGTTGGGGGAGAAAGGGAGGGAGATAAAGGAGGTGTTGGGGGAGAAAGGGAGGGAGGTAAAGGGGTGTTGGGAGAAAGGGAGGGAGATAAAGGAGGTGTTGGGGGAGAAAGGGAGGGAGATAAAGGAGGTGACACGGAGGGAGAAAGGGAGGGAGATGACGGAGGGAGAAAGGAGGGAAGGAGGAGAGAAAGAGGGGAGGAGAAAATTGAGGGAGAAAGTGGGGAGGAAGGAGAGAGGTGAGGCAGGAGGGAAGGAGGAAAGTGAGTGAGAACGAGGGAAGGAGAGGTGAGGGAGGAGGAAAGTGAGGAAGAGGAAGATGAGGGAGATGGAGGAAAGAGGGTGAGGGAGAAAGAAGGGAGAAGGGAAGGAGATGAGATAGATGAGGGAAAAGGGAAGGAGGCGAGGGAGTAGGAAGGAAAGGAAAAGAAGGAAAATTGAAGGAAGGTAGGATGAAAAATGGAGGGAGGAGGCGGAGGTAGAAGAAAAGCCGAGGGAGGAGGGAAACGAGAAGGGAGATGGAAGGAGGCAAAGCGAAGGAACAGGGAGGGAAGTCAGTGTTGTAGGGAGGGTAAAGGAAGAGAAAGGAAGGCGGGGGATGAGAGAGAGAGAGAGAGAGAGAGAGAGAGAGAGAGAGAGAAAGAGAGAGAGAGAGAGAGAGAGAGAGAGAGAGAGAGAGAGATAGAGAGATGAGAGAGAGAGAGAGAGAGAGAGAGAGAGAGAGAGAGAGGAGGGGGGGGGGGTATGGGGGAAAAAGGAGAGACAGGAAGGAGAAGGAATAGGAAGAAGTGGAAGAAGAGGCGAGAGCGGTACGTAAGGAAAAAGCGGGAAAGGAGAGGGAGAGAAAGAGAGGAGAGGGAGAGGAGCGAACGTAGAAGGAGATGGAGAAGAAGAGAAGAGAGGGGATGACGGAAGTAAGGAGGGGAGAAAGAAAACTCTTTTAGTAAATTCATATCCAAAGTATTTTATCCACATTAATTTTTTGAAGCTTCACACTCACACGCGCACAAAACCTCACGCATTCTAGAACATTCTAGACGCACACGCAAACCCACATTCAGATTCACGCAAACACGTACACACTACTGGGTGTTAGAATTTAAGATATGAAAAAAACAACAACATAGTAATGATAAAAGTAAAATAAGACATAATCACACACCACACACACACACACACACACACACACACACACCACACACACACACACACACACACACACACACACACACACACACACACAACACACACCCACACCCAACCCTTCACCCACCCTTCACCCTTCACCCTTCACCTTCACCCACACCCACCCTTCACCCCCACCTCACCCACCTCACCCACCCTTCCCCTCACCCACCCTCACCCACCTTATCCATACTGGGCGTGTTGAGCCGCATGATCGACGCATGGGCCAGGCGATCGAAGACCTCACGAAGGGCGGCCCTCGAGTACAGCTCCTGCGGCTTGAAGAGCTCATCCACGAAGCGCCGGTTTAGCATGATGCCGATGATGTCGTTGCGAACTGAGGGAGAGAGAGAGGGAGAGGGAAGGGTATGGTGAATGAGGGAGAGGAGGGAGATGGTGATGAGAAGAGAGAGGGAGAGGGAAGGGTATGAATGAGGTATGGTGAATGAGGGAGAGGAGGGAGAGGAATGAGGAGGGGGAGGAGATGGTGATGAGGAGGGGGATGGTGAGATGGTGATAGGGAGGGATAGGGTGGAGGATGGTGAATGAGGGAGGGAGAGGGAAGGTATGGTGAATGAGGAGAGGAGGGAGATGGTGAATGAGGGAGGGATAGGGTAGGGGGGGATGGTGAAGAGGGAGGGAGAGGGAAGGGTATGGTGAATGAGGGAGAGGGAGGGTATGGTGAATGAGGGAAGGGGTAAGAGGTTGGGGGAGATGGTGAATGAGGGAGGGAGAGGGAAGGGTATGGTGAATGAGGGAGATGAGGGAGAGAATGAGGGAGGGATAGGGAGATGTGAATGAGGGAGGGATAGGGTTGGGGAGATGGTTGAATGAGGGAGAGGAGGGAGATGGTGAATGAAGGGAGGGATAGGGTTGGGGGAGATGGTGGGGAGGATATGGGGGAGATGGTGAATGAGGGATGAGGGAGAGTGTGAATGATGGAGAGAGGGGAGATGGTGAAAAATGAGGGAGGAGTGGTTGAATGAGAGGGATAGGGTTGGGGGAAGATGGTGAATGAGGAGAGGAGGGAGATTGGTGAATGAGGGGAGAGGAAGGAGATGGTGAATGAGGGAGGGATAGGGTTGGGGAGATGGTGAATGAGGGAGGGATGAGGGAAGGGTATGGTTGAATGAGGGAGAGGAGGGAGATGGTGAATGAGGGAGGGATAGGGTGGGGAGAGTGGTGAATGAGGGAGGGAGAGGGAAGGGTATGGTGAATGAGGGAGAGGAGGGAGATGGTGAATGAGGGAGGGATAGGGTTGGGGGAGATGGTGAATGAGGGAGGAGAGGGAAGGGGGGGTTATGTGAATGGGGGAGAGGAGGAGATGGTGAATGAGGGAGGGATAGGGTTTGGGGAGATGGTGATGAGGGAGGGAGAGGGAGGGTATGGTGAATGAAGGGAGAAGGGAGATGGTGAATGAGGGAGGGATAGGGTTGGGGGAGATGGTGAATGAGGGAGGGAGAGGGAAGGGTATGGTGAATGAGGAGAGGAGGGAGATGAGTGAATGAGGGGAGGGATTAGGGTTGGGGGAGATGGTGAATGAGGGATAGGGAGTGATGAAGAGAGGGAAGGGTATGGTGACATGAGGGAGAGGAGGGAGATGGTGAATGAGGGAGGGATAGGGTTGGGGGAGATGGTGAATGAGGGAGGGAGAGGGAAGGGTATGGTGAATGAGGGAGAGGAGGGAGATGGTGAATGAGGGAGGGATAGGGTTGGGGGAATGGTGAATGAGGGAGGGAGAGGAAGGGTATGGTGAATGAGGAAGAGGAGGGAGATGGTGAATGATGGGAGGGAGGGTTTGGTGGATGGGTGAATTGGAGGAGGGATTAGGGGGGGAGATGGTGAATGAGGGAGGGATAGGGGTGGGGGAGATGGTGAATGAGGGAGAGAAGGAGGGAGAGGGAAGGGTATGGTGAATGAGGGAGAGGAGGGAGATGGTGAATGAGGGAGGGATAGGGTTGGGGGAGATGGTGAATAAGGGAGGGATAGGGTGGGGGAGATGGTGAATATAGGGTGAGGAGGGATAGGGTGGGGGAGATGGTGAATGAGGGAGAGAAGAGGAGAGGGATAGAGGAGATGGTGAATGAGGGAGAGAAGAGAGAGAAGGAGATGGTGAATGAGGGAGANTGTTGTGTGTGTGTGTGTGTGTGTGTTGTGTGTTGTGTGTGTTGTGTTGTGTGTGTGTATTCGTGTTTGTAGTTTGTGTTTATGTAATGTTTGAGTAATGTGTGTGTTTGTGTGTGTGTGTGCGTGAGGGTAAAAGACAGACAGAGCAAACAGACATAAAAAACAGACAGATAGACAAACAAACATTAAAAAAAAACAGATAGACAGACAAACATAAAAAAAACAGACACACCACACACAAACAAAACATATAACAAAAAACAGATAACCAAAAACAAACAAACAAACAAACAACCAGCGACACATAAACACCCGCGGATTTCAATAAGGAATCACAGAACACGGAAATAGCACTCGGTCAGGCCGCGCTCGTTCACATACGGTTCCCGGCCACCCGCGAAGGCGTTCGTTCACATCCACATCCCACTTTTTGGCCTAATGATAGTTATTGATTATTTTAGGGAAGATTTAGTATCTGTAAAGCGAGTGGAGTTAATGCTGATCGCTGGAGGGAGTGAGGAAGGAAGGAGAGGTGGAAGGAGGAGGTGGGAGAGGGAAAGGGGATGGAGGAGGGAGGTGGGATGGGGGAATAGGGGATGAGGGAAAGGGGAATGGAAGGAAGGGAGGAGGGAGGTGGAAGGGGGAGGTGGAAAGGGAAGGAGGTGGAGAGGTTAGAGGTGGGAGAGGGGAGGAAAGGGGGAGAGAAGGGGAAAGGGGCGAAAGAGGAGGAAGGGGGGAAGGTGGGAGAGGAGGGGGAAGGGGAAGGAGTGGGGAAGGAGGAGGTGGGAGGGGAGGAGGGAAGGGGGAGGAGGAGGAGGTAGGGTGGGGAAGAAAGAAGGGGGAGGAGGAGGTGGAGGAAGGAGAAAGGGAGAAGGAAGGAGGTGGAGGAGGAGGAGGGGAAAGTGGGATAGGGGGAAGAGTGGGAAAGGGGGAGGAGGGGGGAAGGGAGGAGGAAAGGAGAAGGGGAGATTGGGGGGAGGAGGAGGTTGGGAGAGGAGGGGGGAAGAGGAAGGATTTGGGGGAAGGAGGAGGTGGGAAGGGGAATCAAGAGGGGGGGAAAAGGGGGTGAGGAGGACGGGGGAAGGGGGAGGGGGAAAGGTGGGGAAGGAGGAAGGGAGGAGGTGGGAGAGGAGGGGGGGAAGGGGAAGGAGGAGGTGGAGAAGGGGGGAAGGGGACAAGTGTGTGGGGGAGAGGTGGAAGGGGGAAAGGAGGTGGTGGGGGGGTGGGAGGAAGGGGAAGGGAGGAGGTGGAGGGGGGGAGGTGGGGTAGGGGGAATAGGAAGGAAAAATAAAAAGGGAAGGGGAAAGGTGAGGGGGAAAGGAGGGGGATAAAGGGGGAGGGTGGGAGGAGGGGGGGGGAAGGAGGTGGGGGAGGAAGGAGAAAAGGGGGAAGGAGGATGTGGAAAGGGAAGATAGTGGAGGAGGAAAACGGTTGCGGAAGGAAGATGGAGGAAAGGGGGGAGGGAGGCGTAGGAGAAAAGAAGAAGAAGAAGAAGAGAGAAGAAGAAGAGAAGAGGTGGAGGAAGAAGAAGAATTAGGAAGAAAAAAGTGGATAAAGGAGAATGAGGTTATAAAGTAGGAAGAAGAGGAGAATGAAGAAGTAGGAGAGGAGAAGGAGGAAGAAAAGAAGGGAACGAGGAAGAGGAAAAAGGAAGAGGAGAATACAAAAAGACAGGAAAAAAGATTGGGAGGAAAAAAATAGCGAAAAATCAGCGACCTGCACTCTGCATCACCCTCACCCGCCACCCTTTCCTTAATCCCCATCCGCAACCCCCATAAAATAAACAAACAACAACATTTAACACAAAATGTTTTCCCTCAATCATCTGATTTCTCTCTCTCTCTCTCTCTTTCTCCCTCCTTCTCTTCTCTCCTCTTTTCTCTCTCTCCTCTGCTCCTCTCCTCCTCTTCTCTAATCGCTCCTCCTCTTCTCTCTCACTCATCTGTCTTTCTTCCTCCCCTCACTTGGTTTGTGTCTGTATTTATGTCTGGGTCTGTTCTCTCTCTCTCTCTCCTCTCTCTCTCTCTTCTTCTTTCTCTCTTTCCCTCTCATCCTCTCTCCTCTCTCTCGCTCTCTGCGTCTTCTTCTCTCTCTATCTATCTATCTATCTCCTCTCTCTCAGCTCCTCTAATTCCCCACTGCATCTCTCTCTCCTTCAATCATCTGTCTTTCTTGGTTTGTCTGTATTTGATGTTCTGGTCTGTCTGTTTTCTCTCTCTCCCTCCCTTCTCTCTTTCTCTCTGCCTTTCTCTCATGCATTCTCTTCTCTCTCTCTCCCTCCCTCCCTCTCTCTCTCCTCTCCGCTCTCTCTCCCTCTCTGTCCTCTCTCTCTTCTCTCGCCTCTCCCTCTCTCCCTCTCCCTCTCCCTCCCACCGTCCTCTTCTCCCCGTCTCCCGCTCTCCCTCCCGCCTGCTCCTCCTCTCCCTCCTCCCTCTCCTCCTCTCCCTCCCCATCGTCTCCTCTCTCTCTCTCTCTCTCTTCCGACCGCATCCTCGCCTCTCTCCCACTCCTCCCTCTCTCCTCACACCCCCCCCCCTTCTTCTCTCTCTCTCCGGCTCTTACCGTCAATCAGTTTCGTCAACAAACTTCCATCCGACCCGAAGAGTTACCTTTGTGACGTCACTCCTCCTCCGCTGTATAAAAAAAAATAAAAAAAATAAAACTTGACTTCCTATGTATGACGTACGTGGTGGAAGCATCCTGTAAAATGTGGTTTTGGTTGGCGTTCTTCTTATCATGTGTTTTCGTGGTTATTAATCCGGTATGTATGTTGGTTTCATACTGATTAATATCAGCAATTATCTTTGTGTTGCTGTTTCTCTTTCTTTTCTTCGTCTGCTTTTTACTATCATCATTATGCATTGTGTTACGTTTCATTTTCTTCTTCTTCTTCGTCTACTTATTACTAAGCATCATTATCTTTGTGTTGCTGTTTCTCCTTGCTTCATTCTTCTTCCTCTTCGTCCTACTTATTATATCATTATTATCTTTGTGTTGCTGTTTCTCCTTCTTTCTTCTTCTTCTTCCTCTTCTGTCGTCTACTTATTACTATCATCATTATCATTTTCGTTCTACTTATTACTATCTATTATTATTCTTTGTGTTGCTGTTTCTTTTCTTCTTCTTCTTCTTCGTCTACTTATATTACTAGATCATCAATTGTTCATTGTGTTGTTGTTTCTCCTTC